TCCACTTTCTTATTCTTTGAGAGGAAGGGATGAGGGACTGGGCACTAGGAATCATGGAAGTCTGAGGAGTTACTGCCCATCATTTCTGCTTCATTTCAAAGTCTGGAAGTTACCAATGACACAGAAGTAAAGTCTCCTCCACCTAGCCACAAACTTGCAGAAATGTGGGTTGCTATTCCAGTCCAACAAACAACTTCCCTTCCAAGTTATATGGTTGTTGTTTCAACACTACCACATAATAAACTTGCCATTACACATACTAACAGAAATAAAACAAGGCAACTGCAACCAGAACAAAAAAAATACAACACAGTGTCAGTATAGGATTTTTTTGTCACTGCTGTTTGTTCTTTTTCATTATAAAGTAGCAAGTCACTTTTCTGCTACACAGCAATCGATATGTACACTTCCATCCCAACCATGAGGGTAACTACAACATGCATCTTGCTAGATTGCCCATAAAGCTCATGTCTATCCCACAGTCTAAGCCATGAGCAGCAAGACGTTCTTGACTTAATCACTCTGATTTAATTTGTCAGACCAAAATACTCAGACTCAAGTCCCAGGAATCACTGTTCATCAGTACCAGCTCGGAGAGAGGAAGAAAAAAAAAGGCAGCTTTCACAGAAAGCCTGTGACAGCTCTGAAGTGCTCAACAGGTCATGTCCAACACAGATAAAAGCTATAGCGATCATTTCCACCTAGTTATCACCTCAAACACAAATGAAGCCCTAGATACAGGTCTCTTCATAACACATTTATCATTGGCGGAGACAAACAAGCTCTAATATTGATGCAGGGAAAAATGATTTCATGTAAGTAAGAGGCTACTTAGTCCTGCTTAAAGTAGGTCTAGTTATATCAGACTGCTTGGAGACTCATCCAGTCTAGTCTTCAGTATCACCATAGAACAAAATTTATTCCTCAATCACTTTGGCACCTGTTCCCTCACAGAGAAGTATTTCTTCCTTACATTGGTTCAGGATTTTCCACATGCCAGCAGGGCTATGAAATTCCTAACTTAACCAAGAATGAAGTTTTAAGCACAAGTAACTTAAAAGAAACCAACTATGTAGTGCACTTGAGCCATTTTGAGGAGAACAATGTAAATGAAAAAATACTGCTTTGTTAACAGCTATGTCTTTAGTAGGATATTACTTTTACACAGGAACAATAAAGCAAAAATTGAAGTAACTTGGAAATGGACATCACTCCAGGTTTCAGTGGAGGGAGGAACACAGCATAACGAGAGACTGCCCACTGCATTTAGGGGTGTGAGCACACACAGTCCACACATTCCTTACAGAAAGCTCAAGGACAAGCTACCAAAAAATTCTCTACAAGCAATTGCTTGACATAAACACTAAGTTATCAGTATTTTGGGGGCTCCGGGAAGTTTGATTTTTGCTTTGGTTTTTCTGTGAAATTCATAAGGAAGGAGCTGCAGTTCTGCTAAGCATCCAGCAACAGTTGTAAACATTCAGCATTCCCTGCCCCCAGCACTGTACCTCCTACGCTGGAACTAGAGAGTCATTAAAAAGTGGTCAGGAGCACTGATGTGTGTGTGTCCTTCTAGAGGACGGAACAAGACCTTTAATCCCTAGGAAAGTCCCGATTTCCTTAAGCAGACCATTCCTTCCCTTTTTATATGCTGTCATTCCACATACCACCCACTCTCTGGAGAGTCTGGGGGAGGAGAAAGAAGGTTGTACTTTGCACTAAGTAGCAAAGTCTCGAATAAGTTCAGAAACACAGCTAAACATTAACTTCACGTTTTCAACTGCCTATAAAGTTTGAATGTTATCTGCCAGTATTGAACAACTGTGGCCACACAATGAAATATAAACGCTTTTTGTCAGGACCAGCAAATCTCAGCTGTCCATGAGAAGATTTGATGAGTTCACAGTTACATGACAAAGTTATGTGGATGCCTGCTGCCCCCTGCACTGCTGACACTGCTGACTTTTTTTTAGCTCTTAAGGCAGCTCTCCACTGCAAGCTACTTCAGAAAGTTAACCCTTTTCTGTCCAGGAACTGCATCATGACAGCAAGCTTAGGGAATGCTGTTTAATAGCTGCTCGATTCACTGTCAAACTACATTTTCTACATGTGTCACACTGTCAGCAAGCTCTGTGCTCTAAGGGACTGGTCTTAGTGGATCCTTACTCGAGTAACAGAAGAAGTACAAGCAGATCTTCAACAAATCCTATAACAGTTACAACTTCCACTGCAAGTTAACAACAGGATCCATTCTTAAAGTAAGCTTTTAGAAACCAAATTGCTTTATACAAAAAACTTGTTTCAGACTTGACTTGGGCATTTTAATCTAGACTTCCAACTACTACTTTTCTTCCAGGACTAACTGTAGTATACTAGCTCCTGCCTACCCATGCACAATGTGAGGCTCATTTAGACTGAAAGGGACTTCTGGAGGTTATCCAATCCGACCCCCAACTGAAAGCAGGGCCAACTTTGAAGTCAGATCAAGTTGCTCAGGGTCATACCATAGTCAGGTTCTGAATATTTTCAGGGACAGAGATCCCACAACCTGTTTCAGTGCTTCATTCTCTGTGTGGGAAAACATACTGTTAACACATTATAAAGATTTGCCTTGCTGTAGCTTGTGTCTGCCGCCTCTTATCCTTAGCACAGCTAAGGAGAGCCTGTGTTCATTTTCCCCTCTTATTACCTTTTAAACAGACAGAGCCAGCAATTAGGATGTCCCACTTCAAACTCACTTTTCAAGCCCTCTTCATACATCATGTGCTGCTGACTTGCTTATCTTAGTGGCCTTTCACAGTCATCTCAGCATCTTCCTTGTGGTTGGGAACACAAAACTGTCCATGGTACTTCTGATGCAGTCTCACAACCTCCAAATAGTGGAGAATAATTGCTTCTTTCAACCTGCTGACCATGCCCCATGTGCTCTTCACCTTTTGCACCACAAAGGCACACACTGACCCACAAGGACCCTTATGTTCTTTCCTGTAAAGCTACTTCTCACCAGTTGGCACCATATTCACGCTGCTGCATGGGGTCATCCTGCCCCAGAGAGACTTAGCTTGGTGTTTGCTTTTGAATTTCATAAGGTTTCCGACAGATATTTCTCCAGCATGCACATATCCCACTCAGTTAGCCCTAGTCTCCAGCAGGTCAATTGACCCTCACAGTCTGCCAGCACCCACGAATTTGCTCTAAGTACATCAGTGACCGGGAAGAGGGGTTGGAATGTAGACAAACTGCCCCTGCACTGATGCCACCAGTAACAAGCCTCCAGGTGGACTTCATACAGCTGATCAGAACCTTTCAAATTCAGTGCCACACACAACTTTTCACCCACTTAATAATCCAGTTCCCAAAACGTATCTCACCAGTCTGGCTACAAGCACATTTTAGGAAATCTTTCTTTAAGCTTCTTAAGGCTAATAACACTCACTGTTCTTCCTTTGTCCACAGTCTTGTCCTAGGTACTTACAGCAATAAATTCAGGACCTCTTTTCACAGCAATCTCAGGTTGTGGAGACACCACCATAACTGCTTTTCCTCATTTCACTTCAGTTTTCACCGTGTTTGTAGCCACATCAATTTATCAAACCTAAGCCGTGCCTCTTGAGTCTCAAATAACACAGCTGCAGAGCAGCCCTGGAAATTCACTACCCAAAGAATTTTCACTAACAGTTCCACGAAGTCCCACAGACCTCATCTCTTTCTGTAAGGTAGAATACTCTGTAGAAACTTTCAAAGATATTGCATGAAGCTTACACAAAACTGTCTCAATAAGAGATTACATTCTGATTTGCCAGAACGTAACATAAGTTATTAAATGTTCATGTGACAACACTGATGCATCACCTGGAATAATTAATCTGGTTATAGTCAAAAGCCTTACTATTTTACAGCTACTGAACTTAAGAGTTGTGTTATACATACAGAATCATAGAACAGTTTGGGTTGGAAGGACCCTAGAGTTTGTCTTGTTTTTTACTATACTGGATATCCTGGATAAATGGGAATATTGCACTCGCTAGTTACCAGAGGTAGACTGTTTTATGCTACCTCAGCTACCAATGACACATCAAAACCTTCAACAGGATGCACTTAAATTTCTGAAGTGATTAATGGTATGGTCACAACCATCACATTCTCATGGTTGATTTCTTTAGAACTATAGAGCCTCTTTAAATGTTAAAGTCCCTTAATGAAGTCATAACAACATTACTTCTGTTTCAAGGAAGTTTACCTTTTGAAGTCAAAAGTGCATTGAAGTGTTTAAAACACAGAAATAGCATCAGCAGTGAAGGGCTGAGAAGTGGGTTTTTAAAATGCAATTATCAATCTTTACAAATATATTCAAAAATGGTATTAAGCTTAACAGTTCTTGACTTCGCTTCTCCAGCCTCCAGTAATGATCCTTACCAGAGCTAAGTAGTTGTTTTGTTATGGCAAGGGCCAACAGATGATGCTGGAGAAATTAAAGGAACTTAGGGAAAAAATTACCCCAACTTAGTACAAGTCAGAGTCTTAAGTCTTGCCCTTTGAGTTACTTGCATTTGATGTAATTTAACTTATGCTTGATAATCAAGTGGTATGCTTAATTATCAAGTGATTATTCTTCTACCAAATTATGTGCACTGAAATTAAGTAAAGCTAGTTATCCAATCTGAAATTGGTCTCAACTTTTTCATATTCTTTTCTCCAGAATCCACTCTTCCTGTTTTTAAGGCTGTCCCAGCAATAATTAGTTTTCAGCTTAACCACCTGCAGCATGGGTGTTACTTCAAGTAAAAAAAGCAACAGAAGTGGGCAAAGAATGTCACCACAAAACAGGATTAAGAAAAGTTTAAGTCTAACACTCACCTGTAATCTTCTAACTCAAGGGCTAATGAAAGTAACAAATCCAAAAGTAACTAATAAATTCATCAAGCTAGCTCAGGTGGGTTTTTTCCACTTCTCTGTACACACATCAGCTATGGAGACCTGTTTGACTAGTCTTTACTCACCTTCAGCAGAAGATTGCCATTTCAATGACTCCAAATTTTGTACATGCCACTGCACTCCAGGGACAGCACTAGCACCTGCTAAGTATTTAAAACAGTCACTTAAGGAAAACATTCTATTCTGTACAAACTAATCCCAGGACTAGTTTAAAAAACTATCAAGCTATACCAGCCTTGACTAATAGAAAAGGAGAAAACAGTGAATCTCTCTAGACATATAAACTTATTTTAAATGTCAGGTAATGAAAGCCTGACATGGAGGGGGGGGAGCAGGTTAGGGGGAGAAATTGGCAAGAGCCTCTACTGCTGCAGATAATAAAAGTGACCTTCTCAGTAACATGCTGAGGATAAATTTGACCTACCTTAACCTTCCCCAACACTTGGAAAAAGCAAGGACAGAGGATGGAGAGAGAAGTTTCAGGACTTACAATTTTTATTATTATTATTATTATTATTGCTGCTAATTTTCTTCTTTTGCTAACTCATGGACAGAAAGAGCAATTCTTGAGTTCACATTTGAAGCATTTACAACTCTAATAGTTAATTACCTGAAAGAATGAGGAGAAAAATAACTCCTGAAGCATTAATGTATTGGATAATACAAAAAACTTTGTGCTGTGATTTTACCCTGACTTGGAAGTTGTGCTTTGCCTTAAAGCTCTTCATCACGAGCTTCTGTACTAAGTTGTGTAATAAGCAGCCACTGGCCCAGCTTTTCTAGAACCAGTGTAAACATTGGCCAAGAGCCCCCTCAAGTCTTACTCATACATACCTACACTTCATTTTAACCCACTATCCTCACATCTTTTCACATCCAGGGGAGTAAGACAAGCTTTCACTTAACACCTTTTTCATCTCTCCCCACTTCATAGACTCATACACAATAATTATTTTCCCCATCAAGGTCTTTACTGCACATTTCAGTCTTTAATAGTTTCTCATATATTTTCTTCCATTTTACCCACATTCAGCTATTCTCATATTTTCTTTCTTAGCTCATCTTGTGATTTCTTCCCACACTTATATGATACTCTTTTCTAAGCAACCCATCTGCTTTCTAACCAGGAATAAAGAATAATGCTAATGGCCCCTTTACCTCTAACAAGAAAGCCTGATCAACTTATTTCATGCCTAATGAAGTAATTCATCATCTTCTCCATCCTCTCAATAAAAATATATTACTACACTTCAGATAGCTATGATCTCTGAGGTGCTGAATACAACTGCCCTTCAAGTAAGTAATTCTCTGAAATCTTATTTTAGACAGGCTAAACCAAACAAAAAAACCTCATAGATACACAGAACCACAGAACGGCTTTGGTAAGAAGGTACCCATAAAGATCAAATACAGCTCCTCCTCTTCAAACAAAAACAGAACCAAAGAACACATGGCATAACAGATTATTAATAATTAGATAATTGCACCTATATCCACTCTTCACTAAGAAAATCTGGCCACTTAGCTCACAGTCAACTATCAGGTCCCTCAGAAAATTCCTCCCAGAAACTTCTGCATTACTATCCACATACCAATCAGTAACACAGTCATCAGGGGAAAGAAAAAAACCCAACCTTCAAGTAATCCTGACTCAATACAACACATTCATTCAAAGCTGGAAACAAAAGTCCAAGTACAAACACAAACTGTGCTAAAGCAAAGTAACCGGTCATGACACAGCCCACCTTTAAGTGCAAAGGTAGCAGGGCTCCAGAGCGAGCAGAGAGACAAATCTCAGCACTCTCACTTTGCACACTGATCTAACCAGGCTGCAGCCCTACCTTCCGATAAAGAACTTTGTTTGGACAACGCTGCATTCAACCACAGAACAGCAGGTCAGGCCACCCCCACAGCAGCACTCCAGTGTAATACCAGATGGGAAGTCCTACTCTTAAAGTTTATTGCTCCTCAGCAGATAACCACATCAACACTAAAAAAAAAAGGACAACATTTACTGACAACACTGCACATAGTTAGCACTTAGCACAATTATCTTTTAACCGTCTGTATAACAGGTTTTCTATTTTTCTTACCGTACTTTGATTCACTACTAATTCTGTTTCTACAAATTGAGATTTAGACACTTGATTCTAAAGCTTCTTACTTGGTTTTTCCTCTGAGCTCCACAAATGTTCCACTTATTAGCCCTACACACTGATTACTGAAGCAACACACCCCCACCTCCTTTTCCCTTTTCACATCAGATGCAATTCACATCTGTGATTTTGCATACCCTAAGAGCTCTACTACCAGCACCTGAAAGGTAATCAGCTGATACAGGTGCTCTGGAAAGTCAACATATTTTTGCTGCTTCTGCTACAGAGCAGTCCTTTGTTTCTCAATATCACCCTGGCAGCAATACTCCATAAAAGGAATGGGAAAGAAAACAACCTAGATTTGAACATATTTCTGATTTCAATCTCACAAATAAATCCTGCTAGAACCGCCTTTTGTTCAGTATTAAACACATGTCATATTCCATGACATAAAATTAAGTTATTTAAGGAGGCAAGAGAAACACACCATTTAAATCAAGTAACTGTTCAACCTTTATGTAGCACAAGCAGATAAAAAACCACGGCAATTCTTTTATGATACTCCAAGTGTTCAGATCTTAAATAACATTGTACTTCATTTCCATATATACGGGAGCTCTCGCACAGCAGAAGCATCGCAGTGTAACAGTTACCTTGAACGTGACAGACCTACCACAGTGAAACAGAGCTAAGAGCCATTCCCAAGCAGCGCACCTCATAATCTAACTAGTTAACCTGAAGTACAGGATGAATAAACTTCTGGCAGCCTTTTTTTTTTTTTCTCCTGATAATTATCAAACAATCCAGATTTAAACTCTCCAATTTGAAGTTACTCTTATTTCTACCACTGAATTTGCTGTTTCTTCATGCAGCAGTTTCATGCACTGCCCAGCCTACTACATAGTTCACCACCACTTCATTCTTTCCAGCTTCTCAAACACCTTCTATAGTTTTTCCATTCCTTCTCTCACTATTGTCATATTGACTCACCCAACGTCTCTTTCAAACTGCATTTTTCTCCATACCACTTTCAAAGGTTTTTCAGTTATGAGTTTCTAAACTATGACCATTGACTTTGACGTACAGTGAGGAAAAGAATACATTCTGTTGTCTTTCTGAACACTCTACCATGCTTCCCCATTTCCAAGACAGTAACCTGGTTTACCTGACCTCTTGTTTTTGCCATGACTTAACCTGAAAAATTAGCAAAAAAATTGGTTTTGGTCAATAGTTACTTGGGATTTTTTTTTGTTTGTTATTTAATGTATTGTACACTGTATAGTTATATCATCCACATCTTTATAATCCAATCCTTCCAGCTCTACTACCATTCTGGAGCCTGCACTCCAAGCTGCTTTGAAAAAAAAAAAAAATTCAGTGAAACTTAAGAAGATATACACCCCACACACTTTGTCTAGCCTTACTAAGAAACTTAAACAACAATTCAAATTGAAAATGATTATTTCCTCAATGAAAAAATGTATCTTTAATATCTTTCCTTTCTATTCACCTCAGTTTATGATTTTGCCAATTTTTAATTCATACTTATATTCCAAAAATCTTTTTAAAAATCTTTTTACTGTGTACAAACTAACAAGGCACTGAAATTATGAGGAATTTATTTAATAGCACCACAGGTCCTCATTTACAATATAACTGAAAAATATTTATCACAATGCAAAGCAAGTTATTCTATAGATTTAAGGGTATGATGACGTTTCTAATGGATGCCATACATCTCCCCTAGTTCACAGCTATACTGATTTGATTGTACAAATTTAGTACCTACGTCATTGAATCATGCACTGTTTGACTGAGAAGTGGAACAATTACTTGTGCATGTTACCTGAACCCAATAGCCTTGCTTTCCTAAGACGAGTAGTATTTAATAAGCAGGTGTGTTTTTACTCAAAAATCCAGAAGTTGCTGTTATTTCAGACGCCTGATACATCTTCTCTCTTTGTGCCTCCCTTCAGTTTGTTGGTTGGAGTGTTGAGGGGGTTTTGGCAATATTTCTCTGAGGCATTACGGATCAAATAAGTCATCATTTCTAACTGTCAGCCCAAATGATTGCATAAAAATTGTTTTGATTTCGTAGTGCCATTATTCTACTCGGGTTTGTATTTTCTGTGGTACCATTTTCAAATCTGCCCTTTGTTATCATTATCAGAATTGGCTGACCAATAGGAGGAAAGGTGACCAAAAGCAATCAGCAGTTTTGAATTCTATCAACATATAATCATGCTCAAAATGTATATAGGAGCACACAGTCATAACAATAGTTTTCCTTCATACTCACGTGCTACAGTTACAATGATAGTGAAAACAATTGTGGGAAATTTCAACTGGGAAAAAAACCAAACTAAAATGTGAGATATTGACCAAAAAAACAATCTTCCCCTGCTGCTTATCCCACAGTCCAAAAGTCACTAGTAGTTTTTGAAGTTCTCCTTTTCATCCAGAGATTATACTTCAAAACTTTGTGCTTGTTTCAACACAACACTGCCGCTTCTGCCAGATGTTCTGAAGTGTTATCAGTCAAGTTCCCAGATGCCAGAAAGGATCTGGGAAGACTGACATCCAAATTACACTCATCAAGACTAAACCAGTAACTCACTGCATGACACGGGGCACGGATGCCCTTAGCTTCATTGTTACTATTATCTTCACATTTAGATATAAAAATAGCTTGTCAAGGTTATGTCAAGTCTGCAGCTTCACTTTCCTAATTGCAAAAGAGCAGAAATAATCCTGAACAATGGGAGAGGAGGAAAGCGCTAGGGCAAAAAGTTTGCCGACCCTATGGAAACTAGTCCTCAAGCCTTAAAGTTTTGAAATGTGACGCCTTCTCAATATTTACAAAGTTAGGAACAATGATCTTTTTTGAAAGCTACATCATTGCCAGAGGGGGGAGACTATTACATACACGAGCACAATCCTACAGCAGCAGCGCCTCAACTCCCTCCCTGAAAAAGCATTTCTCAGATACTACACAACTGCTTTACGGCTTGCAAGTTCCTGGGTATTTTTATCACATGAATCTCCAGAGACTACCTTCTCTAACTTGTTCCTCCTTCATTAAAGAGGGAAGGGACACAGTGTCTCCTATAATAAAATATCCTTGCCAACTATTCATTGCTGCATTGGGAATACAACGGCACGATGACGGTTTTCGATTTGCTCTCGCCCAAGTCCACTTTTATCCCCTCTCATCTTCCACTGCTGTAAAAAAAAAAAAATGACACCACGTACAGCACACCGCACGCAGCGCTAAATAAATAAATAAATAAACAAACAAATTCCTGCTCAGTTTCCAACTGCTACGTCGCCTGTTTGTTTCCCACAGGAAGATGCATGGGAAGTGGGGGCTGGTGATGGCACTTTCCCCCGAGCGGCCACGCCAACAAGCCCCGCGGGGCCCGGCACCGCAGTGCCCCCGGCAGCAGCCGCTCAGGATGCGGGTGACGAGAAGTGCACAAAGACACCGCACCGGCAGCGACCTCACCCCGCAACCGGAGCGGATTCCACCCTCGGCGACGGGCAACAACCACACGGGCCAACAGCGCCGGCAGCAAAGCGGGTACTGCCCCAGCGCCCAAGAGCACCCGCAGAACGCCGAGACCCTTCTGTCCTTCCCACAGGCAGGGAAAGGGGAAGTGCAGGGCGCGGGGGGGAAGCACCCACGAATTCCCGCAAACAAGCAAAATCCCGCCGTTCAGGAAGGGCATTTCAGCGGATAACCTGCCGCCCGCCGGGGGAAGCCCCAGCCCCGCCGGCGGTGGATAAACTTCCCCTGCTGCCCCACCCGGGCCGCGGCCACCCGAGCCAGACGGCCGGGAAACCTCGGCCTCTCGGGACACCCACCCGCCCTCCCGGCGGTGGTGCCGGGGGTTCCCGGGGGGAAGCGCCCGCGGCTCTGCTCGGAGCGGTGCAGGCTCCGGCTCCGACACTGCCCCGCATCCCCCCCCCCCCCCCCCCCCCCCCCCCCCCCCCCCCCCCCCCCCCCCCCCCCCCCCCCCCCCCCCCCCCCCCCCCCCCCCCCCCCCCCCCCCCCCCCCCCCCCCCCCCCCCCCCCCGCCACAACCTCGGCCGCGTCCCGCCCGGCTCCCCCCGCGCAGGGCGGCCGGCAGCCCCCGGCAGCCCCTCCACCCCGCCCCGCCGGCCGCCACACAAACTTTCCTTCAACTCGGCCGCGTCCCCCGGCGCTCCCGGGGCTCGGGTTTCTCTCCTCCTCCTCTTCCTCTACCCACCCTCTCGCCCGTCCGCCAAGGGGAAAAGTTCCACTTACTGCAGCAGAAGCGAGAGAAAACCAACCCCAGCAGCCCCAGCCCCGGCCCGGGAGGCACCGCCGAGCGCAGCCGCCGCCGCCGCTGCCGCCACCGGGGGGAGGCACCGCCACCAGCCGCTAGGAAAAGTTCCCGGCGGGCGGCAGGAGCCGACGAAGGGGAAAAACCAGCGGCAGCCTCCGCAGCGGCTCCGGCCCCTGCCATGCTCCGGGCTCGGCTCGCAGTCGCAGTCGCCGCCGCCGCTTCACCGCCCGGCCGGTCCCGCCCGGTCCCGCTGCCCGCGCCGGCGGCGCCTCCCCACACGGAGCGTGTGTCACTGTGCGGGGCGGGGCGCGCCGCTCCCGCCCTCCTCAGAGCGGGCCGCACCACCCGCCGCAGGGAGGGGGTGCCGAGGGAGGGTGGGAGGCGTGTGCCGTGCGCCTCCACCGCGACCCCCGCCACCTCCCCCTGCCCCGGGGCGAGTGGCCTCGCCCCCGGCCTTCCCCGCCCCGCTGCGTGGGACTCGCAGACGCGCCCCGCGCACGGGGGGAATACCCGTGGGTATCGCGGGTGGCGGGTGGGAGGGGGTGCCACGGCGTCCTCCCCCGAGGGGCTGTTGGTACGTCCCGCCCCGCCCCGTCGCTCCCGCCCCCGCCCCAAGCTCGGCCGGGGGGCCCGCCCGGCCCCTCCGCCCTCCCCTCGCTCCCGCCCCCCCGGCATCCCCCCCGCCCCTTGCACCGGGACGAGCCGGGCGGCCGCTGCCCCTGGGCTGGGGGCGGGCCGGCAGCTCTCGCCCCGGTTGGGGCGCCGGAGGGGGCGGTGGGGGACCGGCCGCATCTCGCTCCGCCGGGCGCGGGCGTTCCCGAGTGCGGGGGGATCCGGCCGGGGCCGCTCCCGGTGTCCCGCGGGTGGCGGACGGGCCGGTTCCTCCTCGGCGGGGGCGCCTGCCCGCTGCGCCGGAGCTCCGCGCTGTGGTTTGGCCAACAATAAACTTTCCCGGCGCTGTCCCTTCGTGGCTGGCACTGCCCCGTGCGGGGCGCGCAGGGTGCGCTGCCCGGGCACCAGCCAAGGATGCCCCGCTCCCTCTGCACTTGCAGCGTGGCTGGGGCGGTATCCCGGCGGCACGAGGGGAAGGAGCATCGAGCGCTCGGGGACGGGGCGATGCGGAGCCATCCCCAGCCCGCAACAGATGGCGGTATCCAAAGGCAGACTCTGGCAGAGCTAAGCGGTCTGAAATCATCTGGGAGCGGAGCGAACCCTATGGAGAGAGCACCGAGGAATACCAAATACGGCCCTGTGCAGCCCTTGCAGAGGGGCCTGCAGGGGTCCGGGGGCAGCAGGCAGGGTTTCTGTCACGCTAGTGCCTGTCGGGATTTTTGGCCGTGCCATGGCACATAGCTGTGCTCCGGGAAAGGATGTCATCGACGAGGGCAGAGCTGCTCCACAGGGAGCGATGATGCCCCAGCCACGGGCGCAGACCAGTACTGAAAGTATAGTCAGGGCAGAGTGGCCACTCGTGAGGCAAAGAGGGAATTCACGCCTTTGTCCAAGGTCCCAGGAGTCCAGCTAAGGGCTGTCTCAGAATTAGAGCAGTCTGTAACCAGGTCATAAAATTAAAGGTGACTTTTCAAAGAAATCCAGTTTCTTTGCTGCATCTTTGCACTGATCGTCAGCTTTGGGGGTACAGTGTCAATGGATGTATCCCCCAATTAGATTTTCAACAGTAAAATACAGAAGCTTGAAAAAATTGTCTTGAGAGTCTTGCTTCTTTACCATCTAGGTGTGCATTCTAGTTTCAGGTGCACTATCCTTGCAAAATCTCAAGGAAAATGTTGAATAGCTATATATATACCATACCTGCTACTGAGACATCTCTTGGGAACAGGTTCCACACAAGCCCCACATTTTCCACAAAGCAGTGTAGTATTTGATGATTTCCTTCAACTGTGGGCATGAAGAGCAGTTTCTCTCAAAGCTACGCGTGGCTAAGTTTATCAGATGCTCACAATAGTATGTTCATCCAGTCTTCAGCCACACTGAATCTTTGCCAATTAACTGGCCTCATTAATTTGTAACTGTGAAACAAAATAGAATTCAGGCGAAGAATTACTACAGGCAAACTGCTGGCCGCGATGGACGTTGGACATTCATCAACATTTTGCTCTGAAAAACCAACATAACTGAGGGGATTCTTAAAGTTTTTTGAAATCAATGTAATTTAGTAAGTCTAATCCTCAGCTAGCACAAAGCTGTTCTCATGCCAATTTGCTCTGCGACAGGGACACGGGATTGCTCGGGTGGTACTGAGGACGCTGTCCAAAGGTTCATAGACAGGTTTTTTTCTGCAGTTTGTTTAAAAGAGCTTTGCTCGCTCTGCTGATACTTTTGAAGCCTGGTCCTTTACTCTGTTGTTAGACTCTGCCGTTTTGATTCCATGGTAACCGATATATTCCACCATGCCAATAAACCTAGATAAATATAATACTGAATTAATCATTAGAGCCCCATTTTTATTTATGATAAGAGCCTTTTTACGTGGGAAAACTGATGAGCATAACTGTAACAGAATAATTTATTCTGGTATAGCTTTGCTGATGTAACATTCCAGGTAAATGTTTTAATTGGGTGTAATTATTACATTTCCCTGTATAGACGAGTCCTATATAGATAAATCCCATTTTATAGTTAACAGTCAAAGCAAATTACATTTCATAATTACATTTACACCAAGTTTAAGGCACTCTTAGGATGGGTTGGAAATATAATGGGGCCATAGTGTAATTGAGAGTGCAACCTTAAAATCCTATTTGTGACAACTATAATCAAATTGCCATCTGCTATAATATTTTTATTCTTTCTCATTCCAAAACAACAAAACGCATTAAACATCTTTAAAATAAAATGGTTTGAAGGTCTAGCACCAAAATATGTACATCGATTCATGCAGGCTAAGGAAGCAAATGCAATTTGTCATATTTAAACAGAACCGTGCCCAGTCTGTAGGTAACATCTTCCAGTGCCAGATTCAGCACTGTTGTAACCAGGCATCCTGGGGACTTCGTGATACAAAAGGAAATTTGACTTCATGATATCAAGGCTAAATTTGGCTCCCCGATGCTTAGAACACTCCTGAAGGCACGATGCTCCAAACAATTAATCTTGCATAATATGGAATAAATGCGTATAGGACACACTAGCTCAGTTCTTGTAAATCTGTTGTTACTGGCATATTTTTTCCATAAAAAGATGGTTTTCTGCAGTTGGCAGCAGTCCTGTTCCAAAGCATCTTTGAACTGTAGAAATACAAAAGACTGTACTTTATTTCCAGTCCCTATTTTCCTCTCTTTCTCGCCATTGTTCACCCACCTGCCCTCCCCCACCCCCCAAGAAAAAAAAAAACACCCTTACCCTCAGTTTAGACTGGTGAGTTTGGCAAGTGTTTCCTTCTCCATTCTTAACCCTTTTGGTAGTTTGAAAACAAAGTCCTGAAGCAGTGTGAAATTAACTTATATGCATATCATTTGAAGTGACGGCACAAATTCCCGCTGGAATGAAGGGCTATTCACTTCAGTGGGAATCGTCAAATAGATTTGTCGCAGAACAATGTGCTTTTCTGAAAACTCTCGCTTCCATTCGAATGGATGGGATGGGGCCTCCCTGGTGATGGTTGCACACCACCACCCGTTATGACCCTTTAAAATAAAACTACACCAAACCGATCCCAAACAAAACCTGCCTTTTTCTTTTTTTCTTTTTCTTATTTTTTTTTTTTAAACACACTTCCAGCTGGATGAGATTTTTAGCTTGTTACTGTGCAGGGTTTCTGCCATTTGCTAACAGGTGGTTGTCCTTCTGCATCGTTCCTCCAGTCAGAATAATTCTATCTCTGGGTGTGCCTCAGCAAAACTGCTGCCAGAACGACTGTTTTCTATACTGTATGGAGAAAGATGCCTGTCCAATTCCTTGTCTAGAAGGCCATGGAGAAGGATCTCTGTAGGCTGTGCAGCAGGCATGACTGGCAGTGGTTCCAGCAAGACCAGTAGATGTGGGCTGCATATTTATGTGCATGCATCTCCTGACCCAGTGGTGGGCTTTGCTGATTATCCTTGGATGTATTTGGGAAAGGGCTCAGACAACACCCCACAGTGCACAGTTTGGCTTATCACAGGTGAACTATGTTTTTAATAGTGTTAGATACACTTAAGAATTTTTGGGTGAAGGATGCCCTATAACCCTGACTATTATCAAGACATGACTAAGATTAGGAATATATTGTAAAGTTCTATTACTTTCATGTTTCCCAGCTCTTTGCATATAGTCTAATGCAACACGATCTGGATTGTCATCTCATAAAAAATCTATCATAATATTTTGATATAAATCATAAACAAGCTTAGCCAAGAATAACATACATACAGTCGCATGGCATATGATATTTTTAAAATCTATTTGCCCATCTTAATAAAGATGACATACTTAAAATCTTGTTTTAATCAAAGACCCTTTAAGGAGATCCCTTTAAGGAGAAATCTGAGTGTCTGACTCATTCTTCATTGCAAAGTACAATTAGAAAACTGGTTCTCTTGCTCACAGAGTGGCCCCACTCTCCCAGATTTGTGTGAGGACTGTTGTGTGTCTCAGAAAAGTCCCAAAGCTCATGCTTTTTTTTTTTTTTCATAAAAGAGTAATGCAGTTACTGACAATAACCACTCTCCAGCATTATGTTTCATACCCGTGGTCAGAAGTACATGTCGTCCAGTCTGTAGTACATCTGAGATTCCCATTGCCTCAGCCGAGAGGTTTAAAACTCACAGACAAATAAGTGAATTCCTCATGCATTTCTGACAGAAAAAAAAAATTAGGTAAGGAAATGGTAGGCTTTCCAGTTAAATCTCTCCGGTTGCCACTTACCTCATTGACAAAGAGAACAGAAAACTTAAGGATTCCTCTCAGAAGTGTATTTGCAAGACAATGCTTCCTCTGTTTTCTTTCTGCACAGTGTCCCTTTACTGCAGGCTCTTGCTCTCCTTCTGTCTGCCTGTTTTCTTTCCTCTTTCTTCCTCTTCAACAATTTATGTGTATTTACACTGAGGTGTGATATTTTATACTAATAAATACAAAACACCCTTGATTCATAAGTGTCTGTGTGGACACATGCACAGTTTGCATACTTTGTTCTAAAGCTACAGCTTTTCTTTCTAGGCACAAGCATTAGACACTTAAGATGAACAGAAAGAGAAAAGCAAAGGGAACAGGTAGGGAAGAGAGGAAAAACAGAATGAGTGAGTGAGGGCTGGTACTGCGATGTTTAAGAAGCAGGAGTACAGTTAGAAACAGGGGAAGAAACCCAAAGGACTGTACCCTGGTCCATAGCTGGGAGCAGCTGGGGCAGCAGAGGGAGGATGTTAAGTTGTGTCACTCCCTCTGGGGCTGATCCTTAGCCAAAACTATTATCCAGAAGCTGAGGGCGTTGCCATTCTGCTTGGGTGCCAATTGGACATCCCTGTACTGCAGTCCCACTGCCCTCTTTTCTTGGCACTGGTCTCTCCAGTGGCCAAACAGATGCCTCCAGGCACACCTCCACAGTCTGGCTGACTTCCCTGCACAAGAGAGAGATGCTGACCTACCACTTCATCCAGCCTAGTGGAGGACGGATAATTATCCGACATGGTTCTGGTCCAGCTCTGTAAGGTGATTCTCGGTGTCCTTGGAGATGTTTCTCTCACAGTTAAAGAACACCAAAATATATCTTCTTTTCTCAGCATCGAAAAGGAGAAAGATGATTCTAAAAAAAAATTATATCCCAATGAGGTCACAATTTTATAGTGCATACCTACATTTCACAATGATATTTTAATTGTGCCAATTCACTGACATGATCCCAGACCCAGCAGGAGGTTAGTTCCTGATTCAAGGAAAAGGAAAAGGGAGTTCTAACATTCATTTTAATGTGAACCTTTACTCATTTTTAGTATCTGCACTGTTACACTAGCTTCACTTAATTATGGGAGAAGAAGCAGGTTTAGAATTCCCTAGAGGAGCTCTCTCTTTTTTCTTCTCAGACTTACTCTCTTCATCTTCTCAACTGCTCCTCCCTTAGTCTTTTAATTTTCCTTGAAAGTGCTTATTCTTATCATTAG